CACAAGCAGTGGTTGACTTGGATACACTCCTGATGAGGCTATATTGAAACAATTAAAACAATGTAGACTCCATTCTGATGAACACATAAGGCAATGCTGCCTCAGAACTGAAATTTTCCAAACTTCAGCTAAAATGAAATCATAATGCTAAACCAATGTGGTAGAACCAGAGAGAAACAACAACGGTGAATGAAATAAAGTCAAAACAAAAGAGAAAATCGGAAATAAAATGGCCAAATCCAGACCAAAATGGTCAACATGTGTTTTGAGTCAAGCAAAAAATGTTTTGCTGAAAGATTTGCCAAAATCAATACAGTTCCATGAAAAAAAAAAAATCAGTTTAAATATACCAGCATTTCTCAGCAAAAAAAAAGCATATTTATGTTTCAAACACTCAACCACCTCTATGTATGAAGTTCATCAAGATTAGTTTTGCTGCAGGAATGCAAGACAATATCTGTGTGCATTTTGATTAGTGCACTTCTGGAGTGGAATTTATTCTGTAGATGCTGTAGGATAAAATGCCCCATCCAAAGTCAGCTGAAGTCTGTGGCAAATTTCCCACAAACTGCAGTGGATTAGATCTGGTGAGACTAGGGGGTTGAAGGATGGAATTAAACACCCTATAGCTTTATGCAAGAACTATTGAATTGGTACCCATTAAAAATGAAATATTTTTTTCCTGATGTAATGTTTTATTCTCTTATAAATAAAAATAATTCTCCAGCAACAGTTGTTCTCTTTTCTTCTTCTACTTGCAAATATGTTAATATGGTGTGAGTTCTATATATGAACACTTGCAAATCTTTTTCTCTGATGATGGCCTCCAAGAACCCTCAAGTACTCATCATGTGTCAAACCTGAAACTTTTTCAAGTCCTACCAGATACGTTATTAGGGACCTCTCAGGAAAAATAAAAAAATGAAAAAATGCCTAGAAAATGTCTTGGAGGGCTGAGATGAAACACGCAGATAAAATGTTTCAGAAACCCAGAGCCATGTGGTTTCTCTAGAGTGAAAAACACTTGCAATCAACATGATGAAGGTTTTTTGTTTTTTTTTTTTAAACAAGATTTTTAGATTTAAAATCATGTATTATTAGTCTAGGCCAATTTTATTTTCATAAAGCCAAGGCACATGGTATAATGTAATTTCTTAGCCAAAACACTGCTGAAGTTAAAATCATGAACTTAACTGTACTGTTAAATGTTGTCCATGTTGGCTGTTTTATTGAAACTAGTGCACATCATTTTTAAGTTACCACTTCGATTACTTTTTTTTGTGTATTTTAATACATGTGATTCGTTCTTAGAAGTAAGCAAAATGTTCAAAATATTGATTGATAACTGCAATTTAAAATTAGTATTTTGAGGGTTTCTACCAAAGACACTTTTAATCATAGGATAGAAGACTCTAAGCAGTGTTGAAGGAAGAGATGTGCCTTTTCTTAAATATACAATTTGTCTTTGTAATGACTAAAACAGATGTCTGCTCTGCCACAAATCTATTGCTTCAGAGTATGAGCAAATTCAAGCACTGAACACATCCTTCCTGTGGCTGGGAGCCATTTGTTTTGGTGGCCTTACTCAGGGAGTATATTGTTACTCAGCACAAGTAAAAGTGGCAGACGCAGGTCTTTCATCACTGCCATTTCACTTCAGACTAAACATGCAGCATGTGGTCATTACCCTTTGAGCTGAGTCAATGGGAACTTCACTAGTTTTCACACAGGAGGCAGAAGAAATTTTACAGGGATACTGTAAAAAAACTGAGATCTACACATTAATATCTATTAAAAGGTTGGACATGATCTTAAAGTTCTTTTCCAACCTAGCTGATCCTGTGATCTGTGCTGCAAAAATGGAGCTACCTGGATAGCTGTCTTGATCCTGCCCTGTTTACAGAAGCAGGTTCAAGCCTATTTGTTTTTCCTTTACCTGACCCAAGATCTATAAATGAATGTAGCAATATCCTGTTTTAACTCTTTTCCAGCAACAAAAGCTTTTTTGCTGGTGTGACTGGGTATTCAGGTGAGGAGGGAAACACAACAATGTAATTAATCTGAAACACATAATGAGCTCAGACAGAGCTGTAAGTGCTGGATTGAAGTGGAAAGAGTCAAGGTCTTAGGGAGGATAGTTTTGCTGTGTGGCGTGATGGGAACCTCTGCGTAAAGGCTTGAAATCTTGTGTCAAGCTGAGAGCAGTCAGAGCTGGGGAATGGTGAACTTTATGTGGTGGACTACTGCACTGAAACTTTGAAATAGAGATAAAGGGAAGTTTGAAAGAAATTTCCAGACAAAAGTCTGCTGAAACAAGGACCTAAACACAAGCTTCCTGCTACACTGTGGAACCATTCTTTTCATTCTTTCCTCTCTTTCCCTTTTTCTGCCCCAAAAAAGGGGCTGTCTCCAAGGCTGCAATAGGAGTGACTCACTGAACAGCCGCTGCTTCAGGCAGCTGCTCAAGATGTGAAAGAGCAAGATGTTAGGCAGTAAGTCTCATTATTCACCACTTGCATAAATCATCTAGCAAAACCAATGAAGAATTACAGCTGGTTCCTGTGAGATCCCAAGCACCTTCTGAGAGAGAGAGAGAGAGAGAGAGAGCTTTCAGTAACTGCTGAAATACGCGTCAGACAGGCACCCTGATGTAGGGTACCAGGTTCAGCATTACACTCCTACATTTCCATACACAAAACCCAATGTCTCTGACAAAACTTGACTGACCTAGCTTGTGGAGTTTAATTAATTCTGATGTAATGTCGATTGCAATTAAAATTGCTGGAGAGTAGCCCACTCCCTACCAATCCGTGTTGTTTCTGTTTAGCCTTTTTTTGTTTTTCTTGTAAAAGGGCTGATAGTCATAGACTGTCTACTTCCTGGGCTCCAAACTGATGAAATATATATTCTCTGTGTATCAAGAGCAAGACACAAAAGGCAACAACCCAATACTTATCAAGGATGTTTTTAGAACAAATAGTATGTCACTAAAATTAGTTAAAATTAGTTAAATAAAACTTCCAGAAAGAACAATTTGAAAAGGGTGAAATTCACCCAAACAGAAAGTTGGAATTTGTCCTAACAAAAGAGTAGATTACAGGCAAAATGTACCGTCACTATTTCAGTCTTCTTAGAAGGACTGATTAATTTTGTCTCTATTAAAATCAATTTTACCCATGACAATGAAAACTGTTCATAAACTATTTGGGAGAGGCACAGAATGAGTGATATGACAAAACTCTGCTCTGCAAATTAGAGCGCAATTTGCACACACTCCTGAACTTTCCTAATCCCTGTTCCCTTGAAGTCCATTAGGACTACTTCCACATGCAAACTTTTGGAACGTCTTACCCACAAACAATAAAGGAAAAAAATATTCTTAATTTTAAGACATTGCAGAGTGTCTGAGAACAGCCAGACTGTAACCTTATACCAGATGCTGGGATTCGTTCTCAAAACAGTAAGGTTTGCTCATAAATGAGCCTTCAGTGCCCAAGCTGGAAAGTTCTGCAGCTGCAGTTGGTTCATCATCCACAGAAATGGGGACAGTACAAGCTGCACATTTCAAGTAGTTCTGACTTACAGTCATAGGACTGAGTCCAAAAAGCTAGATATTCATAGTTAAAAAACAAGTTCTGAACTTTTAACTCAACACAAGTAGCCTTTACATGTTAATGTCAGTTGTACTATTTGCAACCACAGGAATCTCCTTGAACAGAGATTCCTGCAGGAAAACTGCTGAGCAGTCCAGCCTCCCTGTGCTGGTGAGGAGGCTGCAAGTCTCAGGAAAGCAAGATTTTCAGCTGGGTAAAAGCACTCTGATGTCTTAGACGTGATGTACCTTCCAACAGTATCAGTGTCCTCTTGCACAAAGAACAGTCCCGTGATGGAGAGGAACTTAAAGAATAGAAGTAAGGTGATGGATCCTCTCTTAAGAGGCACAATTATCTGTGAGTTACACAGAAAGCGCATGTTGTTCATCATAAGATATATGGATGGGTTTCTGGAGGTGTAAGGAAAGAGTAAGTACTCATCATTAATGACAGAGAGAAATGTAGGAGGGATGTTCTGGAGAAGGCCAGGCAAATGAGACCAGGACCTCCACAGTGGTGGCCTATGAAGTGACCAGTTTGAGGAAGGTCTCAGAGACAGGCAGGGATCTGGAACACACGACACAATAGGGAAGAGAAACTCAGGTACACTAGAAGCTGGTGAACCTTTTGGGACAAAAAGAACTTATGCCAGGATAGGCTGCACCATAGTAACAGCAGAGCCAGGCTGCTGGCACTGCAGATGGAAGGGGTTACAGAGGAATATGTAACCAGAAAGCCAAAGGAAAGCTACAAGTGTGGAGGAGATGTGGCAATTTAGACCATTCACAGCACCAGCTGACTGACACGCACAACACTTGGTGAGTGAGAAGAGAATTTGCAACTGCTTTAGAACTTACAGCTGCTTTAGAATGCTAAAAATTATGATGGGACAAAATGCCTGGAATCCAGAGGTAGCCCTCAAATTACTAGTATCCCAGAGACCTAAAAACGACCATGCTTTTGTGCAGTCTGCAGACAGCCTCTCTTACTGCAATCACTGCAGACAGAATATCAAGTTATATGACAGTTGTTCACCTAGTCAAGTAGGACATTTCTTCTGTTCTTATGTTCATTGACATGATGCAAATATATCAGGGGCACCAAAATATGTAACATCCACAGACTCGGGGTGACTGTGGGTACAGTGTGAAACTCTGTGTAAAAACATTACCCAGGCTGAACTCTTACCTTAAAATTTGCCTATCTTTAACTGCCAGTATTATTTTAAAACATTTTTTTAGTTGGACTTTTCCTTTTTTTTGTAAAACCATAGCGATAATATTTTTTTTTTTTTTGAAAACTCATGCTCTCTGCAAGGACTGGAACAAAATACATATTAAAGGAAACACTTTTGAGGGTTAGAATGATGAGTGTAGTGAAAATTATAACTAAGAAAAAAAAGCTTACGTTCATAGCAGTAGGCATCAAACTTGCTATCTGGATAAGGAAAGCCTGTTTGGTTCTCATAGCGATACAGGGTTCTCACCCCAAGTAAACCTCCACCACACTGGGGCCTTGCCACTGAGGCTGGGTAACGAACGCTGCCATCCGCCAGCCAGCCATAGTTACACTGGTCGAAGCCGTTTCTCCAGGCCACATACAGGTTCCCAACAGAAGCAAGAACACCGTCTCTTTTCCGACACAGCTCTTTAGCTTCCTCAAAGGTGAGCTTCTCAGGGGCTGAGACATGAACCACTTCATCTAGAGGAACAAAACACAGAAAACAAAGACTGAGTATCACATTTCACCATTAAGTCCTTCTTTAAGTCAACATCCTGCATGTTTTTTCCAAAATTTGCTTGAATATTTTTTTAAATAATAATAAAAAAAAATTGGCTAATCAAATTTCCCAGGTTTAAATATAAACATCAATATACTACAAAGCATGAGCATTTATATGCAAAATTAATACCATGAAGTGTATGTGGTTGGAGTTTGAGTCCCTTTCTCAGTCTCTAGGCAGAGAAAACAGCAGCCTTTAAGCTCCTCTGTGACCTCTGTAGGAGCAGACTACAACTCAACTGCACAAATTGAATCCAGTCCAACAGAATTTACTCTCAGTAAAACAAATCTTTTACATCTGCAAGCTTCTTACCTGACCCCTTTAGTCATCACGAGAATGTCACTTGAGACACACAGTAAGTTTTACTTACCGGCTGCTTCACAGCAGCATCAAATGTCATATTTCCATCAGTTCTCGTCTTGCCCCATGGGGAAACAAAGGTGAGGGAGTGCTACAGACATGTCATATCCCCTTTTTTTTTTGTGTGGAAAAGCCCCTTTTGTGTGACAAAGCCGAATTAGCCTAAAATGTTGGAAGTATAGTTTAGTTTCCATGGAATAACAATTTGTAAATAATAGCCTTCTGGTGGGAAAGTGAAACAAAACAAATAGCACATCTAATATTTTACTTCCAAGCTAAATCACCATTATACAGTCAGCTTGGTTGCCTCATTCACCCGAACACTATAACAAAATCAAAGCTCTAATGTTCAAGTCCTGGGAATGAAACTATAAACTGATTTCGTTCTAGTTTTTGCTCAGATAAAACCGATGAAACCTAAAATCAACAAGTTCAGCTGTAGAAAACAGTGCAAATTCAAAATATGTTACAAAAGAGTAATTCTCTTCCCCAGCTACACTAGGTCAGAACACAACAGTCACTGTTGCAGGAAAGCGCTGCTTATTGACATGGGACATACAGAGCAATTTTTTCATCAGCTGATCTGAATTCTGCCTCCAAAAGGAACTTGTGCATAACTTCATTAAAATTAGGTGTATCAATTCCTCAGAGCTGTCATTGCACTCTGTTAAAGCAACTCAGTGAACAATTATGTCTTACTGTAAGACTTCAAAACCCAGTGTTCAATCACTACTTGTGTAAGAGAGGTCACTTTGCAGAGAATTACTTACTCAAATTGCAAAGGAGTATTTCTATATGAAAATCTGCCTTAAGTTTCCCTTGGAATGTGCCCTATGTGCAATATAATACTGAACATTTAAAATATGGGTGGCGTATCTTTCTTTGTATTGAATCTATTTTACTGACCCAGTGTCTATTTAGCTCATTCTTAGAGCCACCTGCTGTGATATTCATACCATCTTTACCAAAGATGTTTTGGGTGTTTTTTTTTTACCAGAAAAACTAAATGATCAAAGCCACATGTGTTTAAGGAAAAGTGCATGCTAGCCAATAAAATCCACTAAGTGAAGTCCAAATTCACAATTTTTGCCACCTGTTTGGTATATTAAAGGTTTCGTGATGATATATTCACAAAGAAGTCAAAAAAGTGCCAGAGCAGCATCTTATACCAAGTAAATACTAATTTATTTCAGGAATGATGGTGATAAAATAGAGGGTAAAAAGGTATTAAAACATAGTAGCTTGCAGTTGTTTTATTAAAGAATGTTTTTCTATGATTCCAGAATTCTTATTTTAAAAATATCCAGTAAAGTGCAAAAATCAGACTTCAAATAGCAGCCATTTATTCTAGAAGATATGACTCCAAGGTTCATCTCTCCAGTCTGTAAATACATTAAAATTCTGCATCGAGTGTACACTTAATATGCATAATAACTGTTGGAATGAAATATGAAAAATAAAACTAAGAACTTCAGGAAAAATCATACAATGCAGCTCAGGTTCTGCTGAGCTCTCTCATGGACTCAACCTCAAAACAGACAGAGGCTTTCAAGAGGCCACGGAAGAAGAATTTTTACCCCAATCTTGACTTCCAGTATTTTGATTGATGTAGCTGAAACATCCTGAAGTACTTTTGAAGTACCTGAGAGACCCCTGCACAGAAACTTCCCCCCCCCCCCCCAAAAAAATTAAGGGTGAAGTTAAGAGAATCCATACAGTCTCTAAAAGTTAACTGCTACTTTTGGAAGTACAGTGAGTTCCATATTTAGCAGAAGAACTCACCCTATCACACTCTTACAATGTCTTTATGATGATATCTGAAAGCACTCTAATTTCCCAGCCAAAACACTGGGAACAAGGAAATTAAGAGAGAAATGACACAGCCACCAACACCGAAGCAGGACAGATTCAGTTTTGTGTGTGTTAAAAGCCATGTGCAATGTTTTTATAGATGGAGCACATTCCAAATAACTTAGCAATATTATGCAGGCAAACCTCAGGGCCTAGACCAGCAGATTAAGAGAAACTAGTCCTACAGTATCAGAGGATGAAATGAAGACCATAACTTCATTAGACTACAGACAACAATGTAATGTATATTATTGCTGGCTCCTTTTTAGAATCAGACTTCACGTTGATCATCCAGCCTTAGTGGTCAGAGCACTTGAAGAATCTCCAGGAAATTCCTGTTATATGTGCTTGTTGTGCTTGGTTAAAACAAACGCCTGATGAAAGCCATGCTTTTTCCCTCTCTTTGAAATATACCATCACGCCAGATGAAGAAGCCAGGGTTTTTTTCTTGAAGACGAAAGCTCATTCATTACAACCCCCAAGGAAAACTCTTAAGATCTACTGGTTTTATCAACTGGTTTTATAGCAAGCTTCATCCCTTTGAAGGTTAATTCACTTTTTGTCTCTCATCAGGAGACTCCTCACTGAGCTGGGCATGTTTGTAGATGTGAATTTCATGAATCACACATCTTAAAAGAAAGCACAGAAATAAGGGCAGGCTATACCCATAGCCGGGGATCACTACTCAACATGCATGGACTAGGGTAGAAGTAGTGAATCTACATGTAAGTCCTCCAGCACAGAACTCATCAGTAATTTCTTTTTCCATAAATGAAACCACAATTAAAGGTTTGCTGAGCTGCTGCTTCCTAGAGGAGATCTTTGAGCCTGACTATGCGGGACTCTCTTCCCAAAGAAGAGCATCGTCTCCTCGGCTTCACATCATATCACCCATCATGCCAAGGACAATAAAATAAGCTACAAGTCCATAAAAATAGCTTTACAGATGTCTGAAGGATTCTCTTAAACTGTAGAGAAGAGATAACCTGTGGGTCTCTTACTGAATGCTTTTAGCACATCTCTTAACATACCAGCTGCTGTAGATGGTGGCTAGTCAACCACCCATGAAATGTCCTTACCAGTCCCTGTGAGGGAATGATGTATACTAAGGAGATACATTTATTCGGTTGTAATATTTTTAGTCTTTTCACCCATTTTGCATTTCGAGAGCTAAAGGAGCCTTCATTACCACTGCTCCATCCATAACTTGGTGCTCTCAAGCTTTAACTTGAGCTTGGGTGCACAGATTCTACACTACCTTCAGGGCCAACTAAAGAAAGATGTAAAAATATCCAAGGATATATTAAATACACAAAAAGGTAATTGTTCCCATAGATGGAAATGCTTGACTTCAACAGTTTTAAAGAAAAACAGTACAAAAATGCTCCAGTAACATTCCATCTTCTGTTCTCGGTGGTGTTCTTGTTTGGGGAGAAGAAACATCATTCCTCACAAAGAATTTGGCAGCTCTCTTTTTTTGAGCACAATGGGTCTGTGGTGAACTCCAGACCTGTTCACTAATTATTCTGAGAGGTGGTGGAACCCACCAAGCTCAGCAAGCAATGATGCACTTATGGAGATGCTAGAGCTCCAGGGTTCCATGACTACAGTTGCAAGTCAGGTATGTAAGATGGCTAGAAGTGGGAAAATATCTTTTCTGATGTTATATGGAACATTCTAATGACATTTCCCCACCTGCAGCTGTAGCCTGGGGTTACTGCTCCTCATAAACATCTGGTCATGGCCAGATGGTTGGTAGCTCAAAGTTCAAACAGTCATGACACTCTGTCATCATTACTTTCTTCAGAAACATAGAATCTGTCCAAACCTTAATTTCTAGGATATGATCAAGTGTTCAAGGAAGCAAGAATACTATCAATGCTTTGGAAACTAAAATGTTTACTCTTGCACACTGAGGACCACATGTCCCAGGATTTTCCATTTAATTCTCTCTTTCTCTCTTTGGTCAAAAGGCCCACACAAAGAGGGAGCAGCAGCCACCAACAGGACTACTAGACTGCTTGTACAACAACAAGGAAAGAGATACTACTCCACAAGCATGTGTGGAGAGGATCTATCCCTCCACTGAGATGGAGACCACTACTCTTGTCTTGAATACTCTGGAAAAAAACACACAGATACATTTTGTCCAAGACAGACCTGAAAAGTTTCATTTGTCTTCAGCATAGTCAGACCTTCATATAATTATCCTGCTTATTAATACAACTCATTCTCCAGTCTCCACCCTTTCCAAACTTCACAAACAAAATGTCTTGTCCCAGCTGCAGTTCTCTTCCTCCATCCTGCTGCTGTTAAGGGCTGGTTCTCTGACACACCAGATTAATAAAAAGGTATCCTTAACAAAGTCAGAACTTACTGTGAAGAACTCTCCAGGACTGGAAAACCACAAAGACCTAAGCAGCTAGGTTCAACTTTAAAGCAGAAGGCTAGATAAGCTGAAGTTTTTTTCTTACACGTTAGAACAAGTTAGTTGATTACTTTTGATTCACATCAGTAATGCTGTAGTTAAACTCTCCTGAATGTCTTAGATCTATTCTATGCAAAACCATAGGCTGAACAGGAATTTACTGCATTTAACAAGACTTTTCCCACAGGCTTGCTTTCAAGCATGAAGAATTGCATGGCAACTGCTGCACCCTTGGAGAGCTCTGCTGTAGTTGCAAAGTGTCACTGGCTTTCACTTATA